ATAGTGAGTGTGAAGGAAGAGGGTCTGAGGAAAGACGTTTAGAACAAATATAGGGAAGCAAAGCATTAATGGCACAAAGAAAATGTTCACCTGTTGAAATATCCATCTTGTAAGCCAAATAATAATGTGATTGAATGTATAAAAGAAAATAAAATTTTAAAAAACAATAATAATTTTAAAAATAAATAAATAAATAAATAACAGCATGTAGCTATTCCATACCATAGTACACTCAATTTTGTCCAAGGACTTCTTATATTTTATAACTGAAAATTTATGCAACATTTTATGAGATAATATACACGGGTAATTATTGAGGCTTTGTATTAGTCACTATGATGGTAATACAACCTGCTTCAAATGTTTTCAAAATTAACATAGTTTTAGCTATTTTTCATGGTATTCACTTTGAACCAAACACTAGTTTATGTGCTAAAAGGAATTTAAAATTGCTTTGTTAGGGAAAATCTGGTTTTCTTTGTAAGCACCCAAGAGCCTAATATCATGGAAAAGTTCACTTTCACAGCAGGGGAATGTTTTCATTGGGACCTTTCATTTCCAACTGAGTATCAATCCACATACCTGTTTTTCTAGTTTCTAAAGCATGGAAATTCTCTCAAATAGCAACATAAGTACATGTAACTCCAGACAATCACCACAGACTGTCTTTAAAAAAAGCCTTGTTGGGAAAAATAAAATAAAAAATCTTATTTAGAATGTGTGCAATCTATTCATTCTCTGGAAACTCTGGGTCTATCACTGGATCAGAATGGATTGTTTGAGCTAAACCTCTTGTAGACTCACCTTCATAGAGCTGTATTTTAACGGTATACACTCTTATCAAAGGTAACTTAGAAGGCTTAGTGGTTAAGGGAGTCAGTGCCCACACGGTCTACCATATGGTTCAAATCATGGCCCTGAAGGCCTGAAAAACACGCCAAACAAGTGTGCGTGCATGGCCAGAATCCTGACAGAGTGGACAGATGAAGAGAAGGAGTTACAGCGTAACCATTCTTCATGGGGGTTAATTTTCTCCCTCTCCCTTGTCTTTGTCTCTTTCTCTCTCTGGCAAGCACATGTGCCCTCTGGCAAATTTAAAAATACTTTTTTAAATAGATGACTATCAGAACAACTAGCCACATGTTGTACTTGCTTTCGAGGACCTGAGCTACTGCATCATTGAGGATCACTAAGCAGACTTCTATAAAATCTAGTATTGGTTGGGCCAGCAGGTGGCACAGAGATTAAGACACCTGGATTCCACATGGTGGACTGCATTGTTCAAGTCCCAGACCCAGTGGCTTGAGAATCACACCAGGCATGGGTGCATGTGTGCTCAAAATCTCAAGAGAAAAAGGGAGGAGAAGGGATTGCAGGATGGTCATCCCCCACGAGGTGATTTCTTTCTCTCTCTGTGCAGTTAGTACATGTGCCCTATAGCAAAAACTAAAGAAAAAAATCCAGCATCAGTATAACACTCATTAGCATGAGGAACTCATGCTACACCCTTTCTAATAAAGAAAACTATATACCTAATCTCACCTTTCTCTGTATCTTGGCACCACTATGCTCAGTTAAAACTGAGGTTTAACACAGCACTTTTATCAACCTTGAAAGCTGGCACAATTGTGTCCTTTTTCTTGGTTTTGATTGTTTTATCGTTATTTCTTCATTGTGTGTCTGTGTGTGTGTGTGTGTGTGTGTGTGTGTGTATAGATAGATATAGATATATAGATAAGCATACTATAGTTTTTATATTTTTAAATATATATATATTAAAGAGAGAGAGAGATTTTTGCTATAGGGTGCATGCACTTGCTCGAGAGACAAAGAAAGAGACAGAGAGATAGAAAGCAAGAAATCATCCCCCAGAGAGGACAGCCATGACACAATCTCTTTTCCTCCATTCTGTTCTTGGGATTTTGGCCACGCACACACATGTGCCCAGTGTGAAGTTTAAGCCACCAGATCTGGGACTCAAACTGCAGTTGACTATGTGGGAGTCCAGTGATGTAACCACTAGGCTATCTGCTAGCACCATTGTATATTGTTTTTATTAAGAAGTCTTGGGCCCAGAAGGTGGTGTGGTGGCCCATGTGGTCAAATGTGGTTCGAGTCTCAGAACTGGCAGCTTGAGAAACACACTAAGAGCATGTGTGTACATGTCCAAAATCCCAAGAGGAACTTAGAGGAGAAAGGATTGCAGTGTGGCCATTTCCCCCCCCCCCCCAGCACGGGGAAGGTTTTTTTCTCTTACTTTCCCTTTCACGGTCTCTCTCCAGCAAGTACACATGGCAAAAATCATAAAAAAAAAAAAAAAAAAAAAAAAAAACACGAACAAGGGGGGAGAAAAAAAGAGTGGAGAGATGAAGAGAAGGAGTTACAGCGAAACCATTCTTCATGGGGGTTAATTTTCTCCCTCTCCCTTGTCTTTGTCTCTTTCTCTCTCTGGCAAGCACATATGCCCTCTGGCAAATTTGGAGGGCCAGCAAGTGGCATGGTGAGTAAGGCATTGAATCCCACATGACTGACTCCATGGTTCAAGTACAAATCCAGTGGCTTGAAAACAACGCCAAGCACGTGTATTCCCAAAATCTTCACAGGAAAATGGAGAAGGGACTTCAGAGTAGCCATACTCCATTCGGGGTGACTTCTCACTTTCCCTCTCTGGCTCTCTCCAGCAAATACACATACCCTATAATGAAAATCTAAAAAAAAAAAAAAAAAACTTTATGGAAAGTATCAAGGTATACAAAAATTCAAACAAGTTAAAGAAAATTATCATTGAAAAAATATTTTAGGGACTTGCCCTCTGGCCTTGTAGTTAAGGGAGCCAGTCCCCACATGACCAATGGTAGTTCAAATCTAGGCCCTAGCAGCTCGAAGACACACCAGATTCATTTATATGCATGTCAAAAACCCAACAAGATGGAGAAATGAAGTGGTCATAGTATGAGCATGCCCCACTGTGTGTAGAGGGTAATGCTTTCTCCCTCTCTCTTCTTCCTTGTCTCTCTCCCTCTCTCTGACAAGTGCACATGCCTCTAGTACTTTTCAGATTTTTTAAAGGGAAATATTAGGTCGTCAGAAAAGTCGTGATGTATTTTTCTGTGTTTTTCTATGCAAAAAAGTGTCATGACTTTCTCAACAACCAACAGTAACTTTAATTATTTAGTTAGTTTTAACTACCAGTGGTCATGTGCATTGTTAGAGAGACAGAGAGAGTGCACCTCCCAATAGGGTGTGGTCATCTTTCCTCCATTTCTCCTTCCTGTCAGGATCTTGGGCAAACACACATATGCTCCTGGCCTATTTTCAAGATGCTGGGATCAGGACTCTAACCACAGTCAATCATGTGGGATCCAATTTGCTTACACAACACTTAACTGCTATGTCATGGAGGCACACACATGCACCCAGCATGAGAGAATTTTTTTAAATAACCTTAAATACTCAGGAACAGCAGATGGCATAGTGGTTACGTCACTGGACTCCACATAATCGACTGTGGCACTGGACCTGGCAGCTTAAACCTCACATTGGGTGCATGTGCCTACATGCCCAAGATCCTGAGAAGAGATTGAAGAGATGGAGTTGTGACATGGCCATCCCCCCCCGGGGGGGGTGTGATTTATTGCTTTCTTCTCTCTGTCTCTCTGGCGAGCATGCGTGCCTTATAGCAAAAATCTCTCTCAAAAAAAAAAAAATAAAGTCCCAAATACTTTTTTTTTTTTGGAGAGGTTTTTGCTATAGGGCGTGTGCACTCGCCAGAAAGAGAGAGACAGAGAGACAGAAAGTGAGAAATCACCCCCCAGGGGGGATGGCCACGCCGCAATCCCTTCTCCTCCTTTCTCCTCTCAGGATCTTGGGCACACACGCACAGGCACATGCACCGGCGTGAGTTTAAGCCACTGGGTCCAGGACTCGAACCGTGGTCGACTACATGGAGTCCAGCAACATAGCCATTATGCTAACTGCTGGTCCCAGTCCTAAATACTTAATAAATCATACAAATTTCTCCTTTGGTGTTTTTATTCTTTTCAATAAAGAGATATAGAATACTTGTGCCTAAAAAATACATTCTATTTACTCTTTTTTTTTAATTTGCTAGAGGGCAAGTGTACTCACCAGAGACAGTCAGAAAGAGGGAAAGTGAGTAAGTGCCCACCAAAGGAGACTGTTACCCCATAATCCTTGCTCCTCCATTTCTTAGGATTTTGGGCATGCACACACATGTACATGCACCTAGCAAGTTTTTCAAGTCACCAGGGGCACTCAAAACCTGCAGTTGGCCATGTGAGATCCAGGTGCCTTAATACCAGCTGGCCCTATTTATTCTTTACTTACATGATAAAACCTGCTAACCTATGGTTATCATTGAACTACATCACCATTGGGAATGCTCAAAGGATCAAGGTAATTATTCTATCAGAGGGCCCCTTTATTAAAACACCAGAGCAATAACATGTACCAGAATAAGGTTTAAAACCTAAAACCAAAATTTTCAGAATCCTCATAATTCTGAGACTTAGCTATTTTTCCCAATACAAAAATGAAGCTGCTTGCCTTTTCTTAGGGTCTGGCCAATATAAAAGAAAGTACAACAGGCCAGCCAATGGTGTGGTGGTTAAAGCAGCTAGATCCTACATGGCCAACTATGCAGCTTGAGTCCCAGACCCAGTGTTCCACTGGATGTATGCACATGGAGTCCCAAATTCCCAAAAGGAGGGAGGGATGAGGAGAAGGTATTGCAGAATGACCATCCTCCATGGGAGGTACATTTTCATTTTTCCTCTTTCTCTTTCTCTGTCTCTCTCCAGCAAGTTCATGCACCCTCTTGTAAATTACAAAGCCAAAAATTATAAAATGATAGATTCGCTTGAAGTCAAATGGTGGTAATACTGGGAGGAAAAAAAAGGCTGAGAAGCCTAAAAAACTAATCAAAGCTCTATATTCTTATTTACCACATCCAAAAATATTTCTCAATTTAATTTCATTACCATCTGTTAGTGTTTCTGGAGAAGAACTAGACGGTGCTTGAAATGCTCTTAGAAATGGGTGATCCGTGGATGTAACTGGAGAATCTAAAAATTCAACTGAAGGTGCACCTGAGAACAAAATGCATGGAGAATAAAATTAAATCTCAATTATGAGAAAACAAACAATTATTATTTATAACATGAATTAAATTAGAATCTCCACAGAATCATTACAAAAATCCTCACTATAAAAAGAAAAGTTTTATTTATATTTTTTTTTATCTGCCACATAAGTAAAGGAAAACGGATAAAAGTATTTTTACAGGGCTGGCAAGTGGCATGGTGGTTAAAAGGTGCTGAACTCCCACATGGCCAACTGCAGTTCGAGTCCCAGACCTGGCAGCTTGCTTTCTCTCTATCCCTCTCTTTCTCTCACTCTGTACCTCTCTAGTTGATTTTTTTAAAATAAAGTTAAATAAAATAATTCTTTGTTTAAAAAAAGTATTTTTGCATTGCTCTGAGACCTTTCTCACACACACACACACACACAAATTATGTGCTAATGTAACAATGTGTCTGCAGAGAAGTACAAAACTCTACTACAGTTATAAAACACTATTTAAAGCAAGACATTTGTCATAAGGTACTTCTGGCTAAAGAGAGTAGAACAAATATTTTTTTTACTCTATTCCTTGCTAGGATACCATCTAAAAACAAAGTATGAAAAATAAAGAAGAAAGTTTCTCCTTCAATGAAATGAGAAAACATCCCCAATCCCAAACCACAAAGACAACTGCTAACCTTGACTCTTGGACTTACAGAAAGGAAGCTGCAGAGAAAATTTGAAACTACTCCATCTTCTTTTTTTTTATTTTTATTTTTTTTTTTGAGAGGTTTTTGCTATAGGGCGTGTGCGCTCACCAGACAGACAAAGAGAGACATAGAGACAGAAAGCGAGAAATCACCCCCCAGGGGGGATGGTCACCCCGCAGCCCCTTCTCCATTCTCCTCTCAGAATCTTGGGCACGTACGCACACACGCCCGGCGTGAGTTTTAAGCCACTGGGTCCGGGACACGAACCGCGGTCAACTACGTAGGAGTCCAGCAACATAGCCATTACGCTAACTGCTGGTTCCCAGAAACTACTCCATCTTCTTTACAAACCATCTCCACTACTCCCCTACCCCCACATCAAGAGTAAAGACAAAGAAAGAAACTTAGTCCTGATTGGTTAAAAGTTAGCCCTACCTAAAATGTGAACAGTGTGGGACCGCTGCTGGTATTCCTGATTCCTGTCCCCAGCTACTCTTGTCACATAGCATGTGGAAATATCAAAGCAGGGAGCTCAGGTCCATTAGGGTCCCTGTGCTGCCCTCTGGTGGCTGCATGTGATACTGACCTGAAATGCTCAAGGCAGAGACGACTTGTAACTTGGTTTCTCAGCTTGATAGGGCCTGACGGTCTCATGCTTGCTCCCACCTCCTCTGCTGCAGCTCAGGGGACCCACCTCCTGCTCTTCTCTGAGGTCACTTTGCCCTCTGCTATGATAGATGCTATGACAGGCTGACTACCTCACAGCTCAGCTGCCTTCAAAGCATCCCAATAGCTGGGAATTATGTACTGCTTCTGAATTATAAAGAAACCAAATTCCAATCAGAGGTCATCTGTCTGGAACTCTAAATGACTAATAGAGCATAAGTCCCTCTGCCCTGGGCTTCCTCACACCTGAAATCAGGAAAACATCTTACATTTCCTCACTCTCACCTTCCTTCACCCCTCCATCCCTCAATGGCCAAAAGAATGAGAAGTGCTTTCTTTATACAATGAAGATACTTAAATGATAAGATACTAGAAGTCACAAGAAGGTAAGATGCCAGCTACTATCGCTGTTATTTAGCAGTATCCTGAAGTACTAGCCATTTTGATTAATCAAGAGTAAAAAGAGGGACCAGCAGTTAGTGTAATGGCTATGTCACTGAACTCCCACATAATCGACCACGGTTCAAGTCCCAGACCTGCTAGCTTAAAACTCACACTGGGCACATGTGCATGCACGCCCAAGGTCCCAAGAGGAAAATAGAGGAGAAGGGATTGCGGCGGCGTGGCCATTCCCCCCTGTGGGGGTGATTTCTCGCTTTCTGTCTCTGTTTGTCTTTCTGGAGAGTGCACACGCCCTATAGCAAAAACCTCTCAAAAAATAAAAAGTAAAAAGAGAGGAGCCAATGGATGGCATAGAGGTTAAAGTGGCTGAATTTCATGTGGCTGACTGTGCAGTTCAAGTACTGGATGCAGTGGCTTGGAAAATATGGTAGGCACGTGTACGTGCATGCCCTAAGTCTCAAGAGGACAATGAAGGAGAAGAGATCGTAGTGAGCTCACCCTCCCGGAGGGATGCTTCCTCACTTCCCTTGTTGGTCTTGTCTCTGGTGAGTGCATGCATCCTATAAAAAAAGTTAAAAAAATAACAGAGAGAGGCTTGGTGCTACACAAAGGAAGCCAGATTCCATATGGCCAGAGTTTGAGCCACAGCCCCACTACTCCACACTGAAAATGTGTGTGCATATCCAGGATCCTGACATAATGCAAAACTGGAGGGAAAAAAAATTGCGGTGGGTTGGCCAGTCCCCCCTGTGGGGGTGATTTCTCGCTTTCTGTCTCTGTTTGTCTTTCTGGAGAGTGCACACGCCCTATAGCAAAAACCTCTCAAAAAATAAAAAGTAAAAAGAGAGGAGCCAATGGATGGCATAGAGGTTAAAGTGGCTGAATTTCATGTGGCTGACTGTGCAGTTCAAGTACTGGATGCAGTGGCTTGGAAAATATGGTAGGCACGTGTACGTGCATGCCCTAAGTCTCAAGAGGACAATGAAGGAGAAGAGATCGTAGTGAGCTCACCCTCCCGGAGGGATGCTTCCTCACTTCCCTTGTTGGTCTTGTCTCTGGTGAGTGCATGCATCCTATAAAAAAAGTTAAAAAAATAACAGAGAGAGGCTTGGTGCTACACAAAGGAAGCCAGATTCCATATGGCCAGAGTTTGAGCCACAGCCCCACTACTCCACACTGAAAATGTGTGTGCATATCCAGGATCCTGACATAATGCAAAACTGGAGGGAAAAAAAATTGCAGTGTGACCAGGCCTCATTCAGGAGTGCTTTCTCCCCTTCAATCTCTGATTTTCTCATGCATGTGCACATGACCTCCAGCATTTAAAAAAAAAAAGAGAGAGAAAGAGTAAAAAGAGCAATAAATACTGTACAGGAAGAGACAAAAATACCATTATTTGCAAAATAAACTAAAAATTTATTTAAAACACTCACAATTAAGTAATGAGACTCGTGATAAAAACAGCAGGAAAAAAATACATTCTTATTTTTTTAAAAATCAGTAGAGCTGGCCCTGTAGCATAGTGGTTAAGGAAGCCAGATTCCACAAGTCCTGGCCCTGGGAAACACACCAGGTGCATGTGCATGTAAATCAGAATCCTGGCAACATGGAAAAAGGAGGATTGTAGCATGACCATGTAGCATGACCATGCCACATTGAAAAGTGCCTTCTTTCTCTCTGACTGGTACACATTCCCTCTAGCAATTAAACACACACACACACAGAAGTGTTTAATGTACATGAAACGTATTTATTCCACTCCCCAATCCCATTCAACTCTCTAAAAGATACAGTTACCTTCAATAGTTCAGGATATATCCTATTAAAGTTTCCTCTATATTACTGTTTTTCATTTATTTATTTATTATGTTTGTGTGAATGGTTTTCCAATTCTGCATATTATTTTAAACATGTGTGCAAGATATATGTGTATGCATACATATACAGATAAACTTTATTATGGATATGACTACATATATACATCCATGAATATATGCCTATATTTCCAAGATGAGATGGTTATAAAAGCAAAAACTGTATACAACAGGGTAACAGGTGAACTGTTTCAGATCAAATAAAAGAAATGTCATTCATCTATTATAAACAACTGGATCCGGATTGGGATTTGAGTATTGGGATTTAAGTACAAGTACTGGGAGAGTGATATTTTGCCTTGAGATTTTTGGTTTGATTTGGTTTTTGATTTGGTTTGGTTTTTGGGTTTTTGCCATAGGCCTCATGCACTCACTGGAGAGAGAAAGAAAAGGGAAAGTGAGAAATCAGGCCCCTGAGGGGATGACCATACCACAGTTCCTTTTCCTCCATTCTCCTCTCAGGATTTTGGGCATACACATACACGCACCCAGTGTGTTTCTTGGCCACTGGGTTCAGGACTCAAACTGCAGAGTTGGCCATGTGGGATCCAGTGCCTTAACCACTATGCCAGCAGGTTTGAGTTTTTCAGATGTTCTGTAATGACAGTATATTGTATAGTGGCCATAAAACATTTTTAGAGAGATTTTTTGGTATAAGGTATATGTGCTCACTGGAGAGACAGAGACAGAAAGCAAGAAATCACCTTCCAGGGGGATGGCCATGCTGCAATCCCTTCTCCTCCATTCTCCTCTCTGAATTTTGGGTACACACGCACATGCACCCAGCGTGAGTTTTAAGCCACCAGGTCTGGGACTTGAATAGTGGTTGACTATGTGGGAGTCAGTGGCATAACCATTATGCTAGTCACTCCCATTAAATCTCTTTTTTTTGGGGGGTGGGGAGAGGTTTTTGCTATAGGGGGTGTGCACTCGTCAGAAAGACAGAGAGAGACAGAAAGCAAGAAATCACCTTCCAGGGGGATGGCCATGCTGCAATCCCTTCTCCATTCTCCTCTCCGGATCTCGGGCACACACGCACACACGCCCAGCATGAGTTTAAGCCACCGGGTCTGGGACTTGAACCGCGATCGGCTACATGGGAGTCCAGTGACGTACCCATTATGCTAACTGCTGGTCCCCCTATTAAATCTCTTTAAAAAAAATAAAAATAAATGTATTTTCTGGAATGAAAACAATGAGTATAAAGGACCAGGTCCAGACACTGTGACACAGTGGTAACGCAAGTGTCTTGCAAGGCTGGAGGCCACTGGCTGACCACAGGCTCAGATCCACAGGTTCAAATCACAGCATGAAAAACACGCCGGGCACACAATATATATTTCTATGTCTCAACAAAGATAAGTCTTCACTATTGTTAGCACACTGAAGAACACCACGACGGGCTCACACTTCAAATGTCACTTACCAAGCCCACTGTCATCTAGTCGCATGTAGCCCTCTGCCAGTGAGCTGAACCCAGTTAATCCTCCGGCTGCTGCGTAGGGCACATCCCGTCCCACCGGTTTTCCCTGCGCCAGTCTTTCTTGTTTAGTTTCCACTACCGTGTCGTGGGCATATGCCGGCTGCCCACAAGCACAAGTGAAGCAGCTGTGGAATCCTGAACACTTGGCACCTGAATGAAGACGTAAAGCAAGTCGGGTGTTTTGTTTTATTTGTTTTTTTAATATAAGTATTACACATCTACCCTAAAAACACTTAGCTTGGCCAAAGCTGGCTGAATCTAGATCCTCAGGCTCCTGCCACTCTGACCTCTGAACTCCCTCCCAGCCACTGTTCTTATTTCTAAAATATGCTAAGGTGGTTATAAGGTATGTATTAATAGCAGGGGAAAAACAATTACAAAAAGCAACTAGGGCTAAAAGAAATGGGCTTAAACACTGGAGAGCCAAGAAATATAGTCCCTTTCCTCAAAAACTCAGTTAAAAGCAGGTGTGACAGGAACAGCCCAGACAGGTGAAGAGATAATATGAAAATTCCCTTACAGATTAATTCACCCACAAAGCCATATTGGAACCCTCAGACATAGAAAGATATAGTGGGAATACTGCTCAGCAATAAAAAAGAAGTACTGCATGCTGCAAAATGAGTGAATCGTGAAAACATTATTGAGTAAAAGAAGCCAAGCATAGACGATCACACATTAGATGACTCTATTTATACAAAATGTCCAGAATAGATAAATCCATAGAAACAGAAAATATATTATTGAGTTGTCTGGGGCCTGAGGCAGAGGGAAAAAAAATAAAGAATGACTCCTAGTGAAAATGGAATTTCTCAGAACCAGTAGATGTGTAGTGGTTGCGTCGCTGGACTCCCACATAGTGACTGCAGTTTGAGGCTTAAAACTCATGCCAGGTGGGAACCAGCAGTTCGCGTAATGGCTATGTCGCTGGACTCCCACGTAGTCGACCGTGGTTCATGTCCCGGACCCGGTGGCTTAGAACTCATGCCGGGTGCGTGTGCGTGTGTGCCCAAGATCCCGAGAGGAGAGTGGAGGGGAAGGGATTGCGGCGTGACCATCCAACCTGGGGGGTGATTTCTCGCTTTCTATCTCTATGTCTCTCTCTGTCTGTCTGTAGCAAAAACCTCTCAAAAACTCATGCCAGGCACATGTGCGTGCGTGCCCAAAATCCCAAGAGGAGAGTGGAGGAGAAGGGACTGCACCATGCCCATTCCCCTGGGGTGTGATTACTCTCTTTCTTTCTCTCTGTCTCTCTGGTGAGTGCACACACCCCATAGCAAAAATCTCTCTAATAAAAGAAAATTGAGTTTTTCTTTGGGGCAACACAAATATTCTGAAATGTATTGTGCTGATAGTAGCACGACATTCACTCTAAATGAAAAAAGACATTAAGTTGTACACTGTAAATAGGTGAACTATATGGTATATGAGTTATACCTATTTAATAAAGTTGTAATATAAAAACAAGCCATATTGGAATGGAAGCCAGGAATACACCATTAAAACCTCTACCAAGTCATACATCTAACAAATGTGTATGGGAACCAAGGAACATAAGAAAATAACTTCTATTTAACTACTCCCATTCTAGGCCAATGAAATACATTTATTCCTGACATTGTCATTAAAAGGGTTTTATTAGATATTCCGCCACAACATTTTCATTCAAACTACTACGAAAACAACTAAAATAACTATCTTCCAAAGGAAATAGTAGGCTAATACTCTACTATTTCAAACGACAAAAACAAACACACACAGGGTGGAGGTTGGGATTTGGGTAGATGTATTGAGGTAAGGGTGCTATTGTATATGAAGTATTAAAATGATCATATTTGCTTTTCCTCTCACCCTATGTTGTAGGCAATAACATCATAATCTACCAGCAAATTAGAAAACATTTTTGATTTATAAAATCTTTTTAATACACATATAGCATTTAGTTGATTAAACTCCTACTACTCAAAATTTGCATCAGATCACATCTAGTAATTTTTTTAATCTATTACTATTGCTTAAATTATTTTAATTACATGAGATTAGGATTTAGGATTACCAATCACACCAATAACTCTGTTTTTCAATAAAACATGAAATTTTAGAGTATCTATCCATTGAATTTTTCTTAGCTGTTTAATATTAACTCTATAACCAAATAAAACTAATAAAAAGACATATTAAAATGGTCAATAAAGAGGGGCCAGCAGGTGGCATGGTGGTTAAGGTGCTGTATTCCCACATGGCCAACCATGGTTCGAGTCCTGGACCTGGCAGCTTGAAAAATCACACCAAGTGCACATGTCTGTGTGCCCAAAATTCCAGGAAGAGAATGGAGGAGAAGGAACTGAGGCTTGGTCATTCCCCTGGGGGGTGGGGGGATGATTTCTCACTTTCCCTCTCACTATATCTCTGTCTCTGTCTAACAGATACACATGCCCTATGGCAAAAACCTAAAAAGAAGAAAAAAAAAATCAATACAGAAATTAGCAACCAGTCACAGGCACAGCAGTAATGCAGTGCTCTGCTGGACCCAAGAGAGGTCCCAGGTTAATGGGCCTAGGGCTCCCTACGCACACCGGACCTACATGCACAGGGCCATAACTCAGGCTGGCAGAAAATGGGGGTGGAGAATGGTGTGAAGATTCTATAGGGGTTGGCTGCCTGTCTGTCTGCCTCTCCCTGCCTCTCTTTCATAAAAGAAATTAACTTTTTAAAAAAGAAATTAAGGGACCAGCAGATGGCATAATGGTTACATCGTTGGACTCTCTTGAAACTGACCTCAGTTCAAGTCCCAGACCTGGAGGCTTAAAACTCACCCTAGGAACATGTGCATGCATGCCTAGGATCCCAAGAGCAGAATGGAAAAGGGATTGCAGCATGGCCATCCCCCCCGGGGTGGGGAACAGTGATTTCTCACTTTCTATCTCTCTGTCTCTCCAGCAAGCACACATGCCCTATAGCAAAACAATCTCTCTCAAAAATTTTTTTTAAAAAAGAGGGAACCAGCAGGTGGCATGGAGGTTAAGCTGCTGGACACTCCACATGGCCGACCATGGGTCAAGTCCTCAAGAGCTGGACCTGGTGGCATGCTTTCTCACTTTCTCTTTCTCTCTCTCTCTCTCTTTCTGTATCTGTGTGTCTAGTCAAATTAAAAATAAATGAAGGAATAAATAAAATAAAATCATTATTTAAATTTTATTTAAAAAGCAAATAAAAAAAGAGAAATCATTTAAAATAACTGTGTTTGTGTATGATAATGTCACTTACATGCGTTGCACGCAAAGCCTGGCGCAGGGCTGTGCTGATCAGCAAAGTGTTTACATCTGCAACGAATGGGCTGGGTGCCATTCAAGGGGACATACAGGTAAGCTCTGCATGGGCAGCCAGTCACTCGGCAAGGAAGACTGATGGGGCGCTGCTGGGGAATCGTTTCAAAGTCAGTTTTATGTTGTTTATATCTGGAAAAAAAAAAGAGGAAAAATATAAACATAATGCAGGTAGTGTCAAAAATTATGATTTATATTCTGCTAAATGCAAATATGATTCTTTTTTCATTTTATTCCTTATTGTTCTGTTGTTCTTGTAGTCAGGTAAAACTAAACTCCCCTAACTATAGTATTGCTGTCAGCTGTGTTGCTTTGGTCAGAAGAAACCTTCACTCTTAGATTTTACTTTTTAGGTATTTAACAACTTTCACAACAATAAGTAGAAATACCATGTAATCCTCTTAAAATACAAGGGAGCCTTTTCAAATATTTGTGTAAAATATGAAAAATAAGTCATAGATTTTTATTTTTTTGGATAAAAATAAACTCATACTTTAATTCCATTTTTTCTATGAACTTTTTGAAGTCCCCATGTACTTACCTCAACAGATTTCTAAGAGTAAGAAACAATTCTTCATAAAAATTTTTTATCAAACTTATTATTTATTTTCATAGGTTTGCTATTTAAAACTGAAATACATTCAATAAACATACACTGACATAATTTATTTATTTATTTAATTTGCGAGAGGGCACACACACTCACTGGAAAGAGACAGAGAAAGCAAGACAGAGGGAAAGTGAGACAGCCCACCCAAGGGGTGTACACCATGATCCCATCTCCATTTCTCCCTCCTTTCAGGATTTTGAACACACAAGCACACATGCCCCCGCATGTTTTTCAAGCCAATAGGTCAAGGACGCAAACCACACAGTCAGACATGTGGGATCCAGCCACCTTAACCACCATAACACCAGATGATCCAATTTTCTTATTTTTTCAAGAATTATTTATTTTAGGGAACCAGCAGTTAGCGTAATGGCTATGTCACTGGACTCCCACGTAGTCGACCGCGGTTCATGTCCCAGACCCGGTGGCTTAAAACTCACGCCGGGCACATGTGCGTGCGTGCCCAAGATCCCGAGAGGAGAATGGAGGAGAAGGGATTGCGGCGTGACCATCCCCCCTGGGGGGTGATTTCTCGCTTTCTGTCTCTATGTCTCTCTCTGTCTGTCTGGCGAGCGCACGCGCCCTACAGTGAAAATCTCTCAAAAAAAAAATTATTTATTTTAAAAAAAAAGAATTATTTATTTTTAGCTTTTCTGTGCAGATAGCAGGCCCGCAAACATGGTGAACGTCCCTAGAACTCACTGGACTTTCTCTAAAAAGTGTGGCATACACCAACCTCATAAAGTGACACAGTGCAAAAAGGGCAAGGATTCTCTGTGTGCTCAGGGAAAGCGACATTATGACAAGAAGCAGAGTGGCTACGGTGGACAGGCTAAGCCTATTTTTCGGAAAAAGGCAAAAACCAAAAAGAAGATTGTGCCGAGGCTTGCATGTGCTGAGCCCAACTACAGATCTAAGAGAATGCTGGCGAGTAAGAGATGTAAGCATTTTGAACTAGGGAGGAGATAAGAAGAGAAAGGGTCAAGTGATCCAGTTCTAAGCCTCATCTTCCCTATTATGAAGACAACAAAATCTCAAGGTGAGTGTTCCCCTCACTTGATTACAGTTGGTCTATTTGTGAGGGAATAAGGTAATCAATAAAATTCCCCTTTGGGAAAATGTGATTCGCAGTACTACTTGTTTTGGATTGAATCTGACCAGCTGAGCTCACATCAAATGTTGTGATTATCTAATTTGGCATTTTAACCACTGGGGGCTTTGTGGGATCCTATTAGCATTTAAAACAAAGGTTATCAGGTTACTAAATAGGAATTTATGTTTCAGGTTAATAAGGAATTCTGGCCTGATCTCAAGGCACAATATGGAAATGTGACAAGTAATATAAGTCTTCAGACTTAATAATCTCACACTGCTTTAAATATTTTTTATGTGGAATAACTCAAGGAATATTAGAATAGGATTTCTGGGGCATTAAGCCCCCCCAGTGGAATCATACAGGATATTCTATCCCTTATTTAAAAGGCGTCTTGGGAACCAGCAGTTAGCGTAATGGCTATGTCGCTGGCCTCCCACGTAGTCGACCGCGGTTCGCGTCCCGGACCCGGTGGCTTAAAACTCACGCCAGGCGCATGTGCGTGCGTGCCCAAGATCCCGAGAGGAGAATGGAGGAGAAGGGATTGCGGTGTGACCATCCCCTCTGGGGGGTGATTTCTCACTTTCTGTCTCTATGTCTTTCTCTGTCTGTCTGGCGAGCGCACGCGCCCTGTAGCGAAAACCTCTCAAAAAAAAAAAAAAAAAAAGGCGTCTTAATAGTTTCAAATTATACATCCTGTTCAGTCTCGTTTATGATAGCACAGTAATCGTACGTGTTTCTGGAATACAGCCTAAGGTTTTGATACATGCATACATTGTGTATGGACCAAATCAGGTTAAAGCCCTATCCATCACCTTAAACATTCATGATTTCTTTGTAATGAGAACAGTGAACATCCTGTCTTGTAGCTGTTTTAAAGTACACATTGCTGATAATCCTACTATAGGCTAAGAATTGACTCCCATCTAACGTACCATTTGACCGATCTCAACTGTCTTCCCCCTCCTCCAGCCTCTGGTAACTACTATTTTCTACGTCTATGAAAACAACTATGTTCAATTCTACACATGACTTAGATCATGCAATATTTCTTGTGTGGGGCTTAAATGTCTTCCCAGGGCATCCATGTTGCTGCAAGTGACAGGATTTCATTCTTTTTAAAGGCTAGTTTTCCATTGTTTCTATATCACATGTTGGTCCATCCTTTCATGGACGCTTAATTGATCAGCTATTGTGAATAGCACTGCAATAAAATGGGAGCACAGAACAAAAGAATTACTTATTTTTTATTTTATTTGCGTGTGTTTTGTTTGTTTGTTTGTTTTTAATTTTGACCAGAGAGACAGAGAGACAGAGAGAAACCAAGCCACCAGGTCTGGGACTCAAACCATAGTCGGCTATGTGGGAGTGTCCAGAGCCTTAACCACCACGTCACCCACTGCCCCTCCAATTTTAATATAATTTAAATTTTAATTTTTTACATCAAAATAAATTACCGTTATTTTTTTAAAGCCAATGCTTTGTTAAAATACTTAACTAATTTTTTTTAAATAGACCACTTTGTTCCTTGTCATAAGGTGATAGTCAGTAAAATAACATAAGTTTGTTAAATGCAATGCTAATCTAAATGCAAATTAAACTAACAATGAGATACTGGGTCAGCAGGTGGCTTGGTGGTTAGGGCACTGGACACTCCCACATAGCTGACCACGGGGTTCAAGTCTCAGACCTCGTGGCTTGCTTTCTCACTTTCCTTCTCTGTGTGTCTGTCTTTCTCTGGTCATATGAAAATGACTGAATGAATAAGTAAAATTAAGTAAATAATTCTTTTTTACTTAGCAAAAAGGGTCAACTTTCTAAAAAGTATATATAACATACAATTACATACTTTATAGTTACATATAGTTGTTGATAATATCACAAAAGAACCAATTCAATTATTTAATAATGTTTCAAAAAACTTCAAGGAAGTTTCAAGAACTTTAAAGTACAGTTCTATCCTTTAACCCAGAAAGTACATTTTGGACAATATAACCTAAGAAAATAAAATAACTCCATGTGTTTAAAAAAAAAAAGGCTTTGTGCATAAAGACAGCATTAGCAACAGTACTTAAAACAGCAAGAATATATGAGGAGACTTCAAAAAGCTTGTAGAGGGAACCAGCAGTTAGCATAATGCTATGCTATGTTGCTGGACTCCCACGTAGTCGACCGCGGTTCGCGTCCCGGACCTGGTGGCTTAAACTCATGCCAGGCACGTGTGTGTACGTGCCCAAGATCCCGAGAGGAGAATGGAGGAGAAGGGACTGTGGCGTGACCATCCCCCCTGGGGGGTGATTTCTCGCTTTCTGTCTCTATGTCTCTCTCTGTCTGTCTGGCGAGCGCATGCGCCCTATAGCAAAAAACCTCTCCAAAAAAAAAAAAAAAAGAAAAGAAAAAGCTTGTAGAAAATGAAATGAAAGTATGAGTTTACTGTGGTACAAACAATTTTGAGATCCAAGCATATTTTTTTCATAATATGGATGTTCCATGAACTTTCTGAAGACTTCTTATATAGAAACACTTAAGGGAACGGATAAGTGAATGAGTAGAAAACAGTTTTCAAACATTTTTTTGGCAGTGAAACACTTTCTTCAGGCCACTCTGTCATGGTGGTTGGACCCATTGGATCCCCCATGACTGACAACAGTTCAAGCCCAAGACCTGGCTACTTGAAAAACACCAGGTACATGTGCATGTTTGCTCAACATCCTGAAAAGAGGGAAAAACAGAGATGGAACAGCAGCAGGACCATCCCCCATGGGAGATGCATTCTCTCTCTCTCTCTCTCTCTCTCTTTGGATTTCTATGGCAAGTACACATGCTCTCTGGCAAAAGTTTAAAAAAATGGATGCATGTAAAGAACTATTTTGAAGAAAATGGATACATATACATGTTACATAGAAAAAAAAGAAAGGTTTCTACCCTAAGAAGCCGAGAATGGAAGAAAATACTAAGGTCAAATTAAAAAGAAGATGAGAATAACAAAAGACCAAGGGTCAATAAAATTAAAAAAATAATCAAGGAAGAGGTACAGAATATGCGATGACTACACTACCACTGCACTAGCCGAAACTGTGGGCAGGTATTAGCAATCTTGTTTGTGATTACTACATAACCACGCGGGAACATAGCTCTGTTATTCTGTCCAGAAAAAAATGGTTTAGTATTTTATACACACACATAAATAAAAAATTATACACATATAGTTCAAAAGTATTAAATGCAGCCAGGTGAGTCTTCTACTTTTCCACATATTCATTCATTTCTCTCTTTGTTTTTTTTTTCCCCAAACTTTTGCCATAGGGTGTGCGCACTTGCCAGGGAGAAAGAGAGAGAGAGGGAAAATGAGAAATCACTCCCCACCCCGGGGTAGATGGTCAAGCATCAATTCTTTCTCTTCCATGCTCCTCTCAGGATTTGGGGCAGGCACGCACACGTACTTGACATGACTTTCAAGTTGCCAGGTCCAGGACTCAAACTATGATCAGCCATGTGCCTGCTGCCCCTCTCCATTTCTCTTAATAATCATATGTCACTATTTTTTTCATTGCCACCACAATCCTTTCCCCTTCATTCCTCATTCATCCCAGTCTGTTTGGGGCATGTGTGTACACGCACACGGCCAATGTTTTTAAGCCACTGGGGCCAGGATTCAAACCACTGTTGGCCATGTGGTATCTGGCTCCCCATGCACAGGGCTTTAAACATTACATTAGAAGACTAGCCTCATGAATCACTTTAATGGCTGGGGGGGGTTGGAATGAGACCTTAGTGACCAGTACTAAAGCATAACTTCTCCACTGAAGTTGGGTTTGATTTTTGAGGACCAGCTCTATACTGCATAAATACACATAAATAAGAAACTAACATCGAAATTGTACAAGAATAAATTATAAACCTATCATGAATTTATCAAATTCTTCTTCAGTTCTGAAAGATATCAACCTCTCACCCTCCATTCCTTCACAGTGTTTTTAGTTGGAGTTGCTACACAAGTTTAAAAACAATCTACTCTAGATACATTACTCATCCTAGCAATTGCCTAATAACCTTTGGCAAACTGCAACTGTGTAAACAGCAACTATACAAAGAGTCTCTCCTGAAAGAAGAGCCTCAGAAACAAACAGGGCAGTTCCTCTTCAATGATTCCCTTAAATAGAAAGTTAAAAGTTGTTTACCTAGTCAGGTCCTGAGCTGCTAAGATGCTGCTTCATGTGGGAGACCCAGGTTCCATTTGGGGCCCATTATAAAGGCTGGGTGTGGTGGAACGGGCCTGTAATTCCAGTGACTCAAGAGGGTGATGCAAGAGGCTGAGACAGGAGGATTTTGAGCACAAGGATGGCTGGGTAACACAACGAGACCCTGTCTAAAAGCAAAATGGATGTGTAGCGGCTAGGAGGCAGCACAGTGGTTAGGGTGCCAAATCAAACATGGCTGACTCTGCGGTTTGAGTCCTGGACCCAGCAGCCTGAAAAATAAGCCAGGCACATATCCCAGAGGAGAAGAGATTGCAGCCTGGCCATCCCCCATCGTGGGTGATTTCTCATTTTCCCTTTCTCTCTGTCTCTCTCTGGTGAGGACACTTGACAGAAATCTTTAAAAAAAAAAAAAAAAAAAAAAAAAAGAGAGAGAGAGAGAGAAACAGATGTGATGGTGCATGCCTGCGGTCTCAGCTGGGCAGAGGATGGTGAGATGACAACACTCTGTAACAAAAAGAGGGTGGTGGAGTAAGGGAGGAGGCTGGACCTGTAGCATGGTAGTTAAGGCCGCTGAATTCCACATGGTCAATTGTGTGTTTTGAGTCCTGAACCCAGCATCCCAAAAAATATTTTGGGTGCATGTGTATGGGTCCCTAAAATCCCAAAAAGAGGGAGAAACTGAAGAGAAGGGATTCCAGTGTGACCATACCCCATAGGGGGTGCTTTCTTACTTTCTCTATCTCCTCTCTCTCTCCCTTCTTCCTTCCCTCCCTCCACTGAGTGTGTGTGTGTGTGTGCCCTCTGTCAAATAAGAATAAGGAGGAAGGAAGGAAAGAAGGAAGGAAGGAAGGAAGGAAGAGGAAGAGGGAGGAGGAAGAGAAGAAAGATAGGATGAAGAGAAGGAAAAGAACTTCAAGTTGCCAAAAAAAAGTACATAATAAGTTTAGTGATTTTTTTTTTTTTTTTTTTTTGTGCTTGGTCATTTTGACCCTTACTGTGAGATGGTACTTGAATTAAAAGCAGACACACAGCGGGGCTAGCAGATGGCACAGGGGTTACGTCACTGGACTCTCACATGGTCGACTGCAGTTCGAGTCCTGGAACCAGTGGCTTAAAAATTACCCTGAGCATGTGTGCATGTGTGCCCCAGATCCAAGGAGAACAGAGAAGAAGGAATTAAAGCATGGCCATCCCCCAGGGGATGATTTCTCACTTCCCTTCTCACTGTCTCTGTCTCTGTCTCTGTCTCTGTCTCTCTCTCTCTCTCTCTCTCTCTGTTAAAAAAGTACATGCACCCTAACGCAAAAACCTCTTAAAAAAAAAAAAAGTAAACACACAGCAAAATGCAAACCTCGGGTACAGGTAACACACCTCAATGACTGGAACCTCATGCATTTCCTTTCATATACATGCTTTTCTTGAACCAAGCCATTTGTAATAAAAATCAGTATCCTTGTACATATTTTTGTTTGTTTAAAAAGGTATTTAGGGCCAACAGGTGGCATGGCATGATGGTTGAGGCACTGAACTATTACATGGCCAACTATGGTTTGAATCCTAGACCTGGTGGTTTGTTTTCTCACTTTCTCTCTCTCTCTGTCTCTCTTTGGTGAGCAAACATACCCTATAGCAAATTGAAAAAATAATAATAAATAAAATTAAATAAATAATTCTTTAAAAAAAAAAAAAAAAGAGGTGTCGACATAGTAGTTCCCTCTGGTATGAAGGGCAATTAGTAAATCTGAAGAGAAATGCATCTAAGAGGGACCAGCAGTTAGCATAATGGCTATGTTGCTGGACTCCCACGTAGTTGCCCGCGGTTCAAGTCCTGGACCCAGGGGCTTAAACTCACGCCGGGCGCCTGTGCGTGCATGCCCAAGATCCCGAGAGGAGAATAGAGGAGAAGGGATTGCAGCATGGCCATCCCCCCTGGGGGGTGATTTCTCGCTTTCTGTCTCTCTGTCTCTCTCTGTCTGTCTGCGCGCCCTATAGCAAAATCCTCTTCAAAAAAAAAAAGGAGAAATGCATCTAAGGGCCAGCAAGCAGTGTGGTAGTTAAGGTACTGGACTCCTACATGGCTAACCATGGTTCGAGTGCCAGAGCTAGCGACTTGCTTTCTCGCTGCCCTCTCACTCTTATGAGCAAACCTGCTCTATAGCAAATTAAAAATTATAATAATAAATAAAATTAAATAAGTAATTCTTTTTTAAAATTTTAAGGCCGACAGATGGAATAGTGGTTAAGACACTGGACTCCCACATGGCCAACCACAGTTCAGGTCCCAGACCTGTCAACTTGAAATTCATGCTGGGTGTGTGTGTATATGCCCAAAATCTCAAAGGAAGAATACAGGAGAGGGATTGCAGCAGGGCATCTCTCCTGAGGGGGTGATTTCTCACTTCCTCTCTCTCCATCTCTCTGTCTCACCAGTGAGCACATGCACCCTATAGCAAAAATCTCTCTAAAACAAACAAACAAACAAAAAAAGAAATGTTTCTATTTGTAGATGGGCAGCAAAATCCATGTAGATCAATGTAAGCAACTATTAAAGAAGCCATGCAGACTCACCATCTGTCCTCTACCACGGCCAGTGATGGGAGAGGTAGATTCTGCTACCCACTTGCATTGGAAGACCCCAGGAAAGCTGGTATGGTTTTTACCAATGGCAAGAGAAGAATGGCATAGGGATAGACTCCATGATGACTTCTAATAGGGTATGATGGAATTTTCAAGATTACAACTAAAAAAAAAAAAAAAAACTTTAGATAATGTCTACTACTTATATAAAGGCCTATTTTTTTTTCTTAATCACCACAGAGTTATCAATAAAAGGAAGATCTATCTGACTAGTTTTTTGTTGTTGTTGTTGTTGCTTAATTTTCTAATGATCGGAAAATTGCAATGGGGCTGGCAGGTGGCGTGTTGGTTAAAGACGCTGCAGTCCCACATGGCCGACCACAGTTTGAGTTCTGGATGCGGTGCCGTGCTTTCTCACTTTCCTCCTCTCTCATGCTCTGTCCCTCTCTGGTCAAATTTAAATAAATAAATAAAGTTAAATAAAATAATTGTAAAAAAAGAAAATTGCAATAAAATATCTTACCTATGTGTACAAAAGCACAATGTCTCTGGGCCGACTAGTTTACAATCCATTCCAGTTGGTGACCGCCAGCTCACAAATAACCTGTTCTGTAAGCGCATAGGTAAAACTTTTCTTTTGTATTCTTCATATTCTTCAGGAGTGAAAAGTTTCCCTCCATCATCTTCACCAACAATTCTAAAATAATAAACACTTCTCTTAACTTGTGAGTATTTATTTTCAAGGTTAAAAATGCTAAACTCTACGATTGAGGTATACTTGTATAGTCAAAAGGCTGCTTCATTCAACTTTGACTTTTCCCTTTAGGCACATGTTAATAAATTACAATAGTAATAAAATGTTTGCTTCTGATGCAATTCAGGTATATCCCAAAATATGACACCTTGGCATTTGAGCACACAGCAGGAGGAGAAAGCCCACCTTCACCTTCCCCTCACCCTTTTTTCCTGAAGTCATAAAACTTTCATTCCAGAAGTGCCCTCCTATGACCAGAGGGAGGAAATATCCCTATCTCTGAAGACGCAGAGATACAGAAAAGAATTTGAACAAACAGGTCTTACGAAGTTCTCCCTAGTTATTAGATCATACCTTTGTCCTCTAACCATGTTTCTCCATAACTGCCCACTCTTCATCAAGCCTAAACTTTAAAAATACACAGGATTCCATTTCTTTGGCTTTTCATTTTCTAAATGTCCCCACATCACATAAAAATTATATTATTTTAAATAAATATGTATGTTTTTCTCTTATAAATCTCTTTTATAATAAGTACCTCAGCCATAAGGTTAGTGACAACTGAGGAAGAAATCTTTTCTCCTCTATACTTCCTATATAAAATAGAATGACAGGGCCAGGAAGTAAAGGAGGCTGGATCCCACATGGCTGACTGCGTGGTTCAAGTCCTAGACCTGTCGGCTTGAAAATCATGTGTGTATGCTTGACCAAAATCCCAAAAGGAAAACGGAGGAAAAGAGGGACTACAGCATGGCCATACCCCGAGGGAGTGATTACTCACTTTCCCTCTCTATCTCTTTGTTTCTCTCTGTGAGTACACACACCCTATAGTAGAAACCCCCCCCCCAAAAAAAAAAAGAATTACAAATAAAATCAATATAGTCATAATATTTAACTTTACTGATCAATGTTTATCAATGGAGAATTACCACTATGTATCTCCATCTCTCCTTTGTTTCTGAATGAAACATGTTCATTCTTCTCATTAAATGTTAAATCCTAACCTGCTAAAAATTCTAACATTTGTTCTACTTTAAAAATAGCCAAGGGGCCAGCAAGTGGCATGATAATTAAGGCACTGGACTCCCACATGGCTAACCTCTGTTCAAGTCCTGGAACTGGCCCCTTGAAAATCACACCAGGCGCATATGCATGCATGCCCAAAGTCCCAAGAGGAGCAAGAAGGGACTGCAACGTGGCCATCACCCCTGAGGAGTGATTTTTCACTTTCCCCTCTCACTACCTCTGTCTTTGACCAGTAAGCACATGCACTCTGTAGCAAAAACCTAAAAAAACTTTAAAAAAAAAAAAAAATAGGACGTAGCCAAAAAAAGAACACAAAAATATCAATGCAGAGGCCAACATAACTAATTCTCATACCTGATTCCAAACACTGGTTTAAAATTTAAACTACCACTTAAACTAAAAACACATAGATCTGTACAAGCTCAGATCCACATCTGCATATTGGGTAATCGGAAGTCAGGTTCAAAAGTAAGACCCCAGAATTTTACGGGAAAAATTAAGCCAGAGGGCTTGTGTAGCCAGTGAGAGAAAGAACCCCCCAATTGGGCATGATCACACTCCAATCTCATTTTCTTCATTTCTCCATTCTTTCTGTATTGGGGCATGCCCACACATGTCTGGCATGTTTATCCAAGAAACCCAGGCTGAGACTTGAACTGTGGTTGGCCATGTGGCATCTAGTTCTGCAGTCGGTCATATGTGATCTGGCTCCCAATGCTCAACACATTAACCATTGTGGAATGGGGCCAACCTATAAACACTCAATATCTCTATGTAAAGAAATTAAGTTTGTCTCTCTCAAACAAAGCACAATTTTAAAAAGTTCTTCAAAACTGAAAAAAAAATTATCCTTGAAATACTCCCTTTTGGGAGCAGCAGTTAACATAATGGCTATGTCGCTGTACTCCCATGTAGCCGACCGTGGTTCGAGTCCTGGACCCGGTGGCTTAAACTCACACCGGGCGCATGTGCGTGCATGCCCAAGATCCCGAGAGGAGAATGGAGGAGAAGGGATTGTGGCATGGCCATCCCCCCTGGGGGGGTGATTTCTCGCTTTCTATCTCTCTGTCTCTCTCTGTCTTTCTGGCGAGCATAAGCACCCTATAGCAAAAACCTCTTCAAAAAAAAAAAAGAAATGCTCCCTTTTAAAAAGTCATGCCAAGCATGGTTTATAGAATGCTACATATTATCTTTTACAGGAAAGTGTTATTTATGCTCCTGAAAAGAATTTCCCACCAGGCCTATCCCAACCATTTTGCAGGTTCTGTAAGAAACACCTGGAAACCCACAGTCCTCAAATCTAAATATAGTCAGGTGCCACATGACAACATTCTCATCAATGACAAAACACATAAACTACAGTGGTCACGTAGAATTATAATAGTGGGCCAGCAGGTGGCACGGAGGTTAACTTGGCTAGATTCCATGTGACCAATTGCATAGTTCAAGTCCCAGATGCTGTGGCTTGAAAAATATGCCAAGTGTGTGTGTTTGCATGCCCAAAATCCCAAAAGGAGAATGGAGAAGAAGGGATTACAACAAGTCATCCTCCCTGGGAAGTTATTTCTCACTTTCTCTCTCTGTGTCTCTCTTCTCCATCTCTCTTCAACCTCCAAAAAGCACACGCACCCTTATAGCCAACTAAAAATAAATAAATAAATAAATAACAAAAAGATTATAATCGAACTGAAAAATTCCTTCGCCTAGTGATGGAGCTGTCATATTGTCTTTGTGCAATACATTATTCACTTGCTGTGGTGAAGCCGGTATAGACACACCTACTGTCACATAAAAGTATGGCACAGGCCCAGATGCTGTGGCATAGCATTAATACTAGTGCCCGCAATGCTGGAAGCTATACGGCAACCACAGTGTGGATCTCAGGTGCCCCTGAAGAACATACCGAGTGCACACGTGGATCCTGAGGAGCTGGAGAGCTCAGGAAAAGGGATCATGGCATGCTAAGACCGTGTCAAGGATGCTTTCTCTCCCACTCCTACCCCTCCATGCATGTGCACATACTTTCTTATCATTAAAAATACAGCACATTGGGGCCACTAGGTGATGTGGTGGGTAAGGAGCTGGACTCTCACATGGTCGACTACAGTTCAAGTCCAGACCTGGTAGATTGCTTTCTCACTTTCCACTCTCTCTCTGTATCTCTCTCTGGCCAAATTAAATAATAATAATTAATAAAATTAAATAATTATACATATACACACACACACATACACACACATACACGCGTACAGAACATTTGGGGCCAGCTGGTGGTGCAGTGGTTAAGGTGCTAGACGCCCACATGGCCAACCACAGTTCAAGTCTCAGACCTGGCAGCTTGCTTTCTCACTTTTTCTCTCCCTCTCCCTCTCTCTCTCTCTGGTGAGTGCATATGCCCTATAGCAAATTTTAAAATAATAAAAATAAACAAATAATTCTTTAAAAGTGTATTGCAAATTTGGGACCAGCAGTTAGCGTAATGGCTATGTCGCTGGACTCCTACGTAGTCAACCGCGGTTCGCGTCCCGGACCTGGTGGCTTAAAACTCACGCCGGGCACGTGTGCGTGCATGCCCAAGATCCCGAGAGGAGAATGGAGGAGAAGGGATTGCGGCGTGGCCATCTCCCTTGGGGGGCGATTTCTCGCTTTCTGTCTCTCTGTCTCTGTCTGTCTGGCGAGTGCACGCGCCCTAAAGCAAAAACCTCTCAAAAAAAAAAAAAGTGTATTGCAAATTTGCAAATTTAATTATGTGTGTATAGTACCTGATACTTGATCATAATAATAAAAAACTGCTACTAGTTTATGTATTTGCTATAATTTTTTATCTTTACTTATTAAAATAATAATTTTACTGTGGCTCAGATGTGGTAGTGCATGCTTGTTGCTGCTGCTAGGCAGGCTGAGGTCACATGGGAGGCCTAGGTTTGAGTTGTGGGTGTGGTCCCAGCTATTCTGAAGGTTGAAGCAGAAGGACCACAACACAGCAAAACCTTCCATACGTATAACACCACCATGTTTTCCCCTCTTTTCTCTTTCACAATACAAATCACTTCTGTGATCCCAAAATATGTGGGAATTTCTCCTCATTACCAAGCAAACAATTTTGTAGCAGATAACCAGCTGAGCATCCTCTAACCCAAGTCAATTCAATTCTGATACTATCTACCTAGAGACAGCATCAGATTCCACAGGTTGAAGCTCAATAGCCAAGATTGCCTTCCCCTTCATGGCCCCCCCCTTCCACTTCAGATTCTAGAAGCAGGTGTGGGTTTCCAAAACTTCTGACCAAAGTTACAGGTTGGGGTTCTCACAGTCCCTCTCCTCTTTAGGTTTGATTAACTTGCTGAGTGGCTCACAAGACTCAAGGAAACACTGATTACTGGTTTACTACATATTGTAAAGGATACAGATGAAGAGATGCATAGGGCAAGGCAAACAGGAGTGGGTACAGAGTTTCCATGCCCTCTCTGGCCCACCACCCTTCAGGAACCTCCATCTGTCCAGAAGCTTCCAGAACCCTGTCCTTCGGGGGCTTTTTGTTTTTTAAATTTCCTATACAGTGTGTGTACTTGCTGAAGAGAGAGAGAAACAGAGACAGAAAGAAAGAGAGGGAGAGAAAATGAGAAATCACACCCCCTCCAGGGAGATGGCCACATCACAATCCGTTCTCCTCCATTCTCCTCTTGGGATTTTGGACACGCATGCACATGGTCCAGCATGTTTTTCACCACTGGGTCCAGGACTTGAACTGTACTGCTGGCTGTGTGGGATCCAGCCATCTTAATCACCAGATCACCAGCTGGCCCTGTCCTTTAGGGTTTCTATGGAGACTTCATCACACATACATAAAAGCTAATAGACTAGGTGGGAACCTAGCAAAGCCTGTTTGTTCAAGTTCATGGCCTATGTGAATTCCTTCCTCCTGGGTATGGGGCAGGACCCTTTTGTAATGAGGATCTTAAGTCTAGGGGAATCTTGGGGTCTCTCTGACCTACCCTGGAGTGAAGGAGAAGGTCATTGTGTCTTTCACTTTTCTCTCCCTAATGCTGTTCTGAAGCTACTTTGGGAACCAAGGACAAGAGGCCAAATACTTAAGAGTCAGGAATCCTGGATGAAAACCAAAACATACATATATATTATATATATATATGTATATATATTATATATATATATACACACACACACACATATATAAACATGCACACAAAATCATATCACACCCTGTCTAAAACACACACTACACATGCACGCACACGCTTACTATAAAATAGTACGCCACCAGCAGCAGCCTTCTATACATCATATTTATTGCATCTGTTGATTGCATCACTTTCTCTCCTGCTTGATTTAACCTCATGTGGTTTTGTTCAGCATGGTCTTTCCAGTGGGACAAGATATGCTGGTTCATTCAGAAAAAAATCTGAGCAAACAGGCCTTGCCAAGTACCCTCCCACTCCATTTTTACATTAGATGACCTGATCTTTTGTAGGCCTAGACTAAAATGTGTGCTTTTTCCCAGTTTTAACAAAAAAGTTTAAGAAATGTTAAAAAAAAAAAAACCTTTAACAGAACAATCTTATAAAAACATAAAAGAAAATATTTTTGTACAGCTGTACAACGTGCGTTTTAAGTCAAGTGTTACTACAAAAGTCAAAAAGTTTTAACAAATTTAAAAGGTTTATAAAGCAAACTAAAGTGAATGTTACTAAAATACTTTTTGTTAGAGATGTTTGCTATAGGGTGCGTGCACTCGCCAGGGAAACAGAGACAGAAAGCGAGAAATCAGCCTACGGAGGGGATGGCTATACCACAATCTCTTCTCCATTCTCCTCTTGGGAACTTGGGCACACAAGCACACACACCCAGCCTGAGTTTCAAGCCTCCAGATCCAGGACTTGAACAGTGGTCAGCTATGTTGGAGTCCAGCAACATAACCGTTATGCCATCTGCTGCTCCCTAAGAAAGATAGTTTTTATAAATTGAGTGGATCCTACCTGCATAGTGTTTATAAAGTCTACAGCGATGTCCTAGGCCTTCACTTCCACTCACCATTCACTCACTGACTTACCAGAGCAACTGTGTTACCACTGCCTATAGTAAGTACTCAGTATAGTAACATACTATACAGGATTGGAGCCCAAGGGCAATAGGTAGCACCATACAGCTCAGGTGTGTAGTAGCTCTACCACCTAGGTCTGTGTAAGCACACTCTATAATATTAAAAAACGCTGGAATCATCTAAGCACATGTTCTCGGACCTATACTGTCATCTTGAAGCAATGCTGAATCTAAGATATCAGTCAACATCAGGACCCATCAACCTACTCCCACAGAGAAGTCCTAGGGAACTAGGCCGGGTTGTGCCCTGCATGAGGGCTGGTGGTAACTGTTTGGACCCGAAACTAATGGTATTACCTGGCCTACCTGACCTTGCCACTGATACTGACCCATCACTCTCACTCTCACTTTTCTGGCTCAGAATTTCAAGGCAGTTCTAAGGATTACTCAAAACAGTAGGGCAGTTAGATGGACAGCCAGGTGATTTGGGGCGACCACTCATAAGCAGCTCCTCCAGCTTGGGTTTCTCAGGCCGAGCCTGATTGGTTGATTCACTGTTCGTCCCACCCAGGCATTCCTCAGCCTCAACTCCCCGTCCTCCAGAAATGCCCATTCTCCTAGTTTCCCAACTGCCGAAAACCTCTGTTTAGAGTCCCCCTTAAAAGAACACAACGCTCCAGGTGCATTCATTAGCCTTCCTGAGGTCCCAGAACAATGAATCTCATCCAGAGCCCAGAGCAAAAAAGACCCGATGCATTTCCAGCTTGCTGAAAGTTTTCCCAGAACCAAAATTACAGAAGTGTCGCTACCCCCGCTCCCGGAGGGAGGGGGGGGGCGATTTCTCGCTTTCTCTCTCTCTGTTTCTGTCTTTCTGGCCAGTCCACGCGCCCTATAACGAAAATCTCTCCAAAAAAGATAAAAATAAAAAACACAAACACACACACACACACACACACACACACAAGTATCTATCTCTCGAAACCAGCACCTAGGGGTTGGCAGTAGTTAGAAGTTCCCGGCTTATCCTATTCCTGAATAACGCGCGAACGTGATGTCTGCTAACAATTATAGGCCCAGAGTACTCGATGTGAAATTTATTCTTGAGTGTCCATTTAGATAACATGATTGGTCTTTTGCATAAATCTAGAGTTAATAGTCCTTGAAAGGCAACGGAGGGACCTCTTAAATGGCCTCGGAAGAGATATTATTTTACAGAACTACGAGCCATTACAATATCTAATTACAGAAAGGCAAAATTTTAAATGAATCTAGGCCTCCGCCAAAAGCCAGAAAACGGATCCCAGGAGCTCCAGCGCTCGCCTGCGAGGCTCCAGTCCGCGCCACCAGACCTCCTCCGACAGGGACCCCGGCCAGCCCCCGGCGTCCTTGCCCCAGCGGAGCGGCGGGTTGCAGGCCGCAAACCGCGGCTCACCTCCGGTACTCCAGGTACTCGTCCACCGCCGGCGGCCGCCGCGGGGCGGCACCGACAGCCGCTCCATGGCCGGCGGGGAAGCAAAACGAGTCCCGGCCGCGCGCGTGCAGAAGCCCGAGAAACCCGAGCAGGCCCCGCCCCGCCCCGGAACGCCTCCGGATTGGCCCCGCCCGGAACAACAGGTGTGCACGCGCGGTGACGGCGCAGGGCGCGCGCGCTGCTACCTGGCGCAGCACGCGAGGGCACCGGAACCTCTGTGTCCGCTCTGGCAGCCTGGAGCCCGGAACCCGGTGCGTGTTTTGCCGCTGTCCACAAGCCTTGCCCCTATCGCCTCTAGAACCCTTGCCTGGGCGGGCAGGCCTCCATGCAGGAAATAGCTTATTCCTGGACACAGCTCTTTCCATGGAACTCATCTCTTGGCATGTAAGTGGTTTGGGGAATGTTCAGGTTATCTCGATGCCCGCATCCTCATAAACGCCAGCTGTGTTTTCAGTATTTGTGTTTTTTAAAACTGTGGTATAAAATTAATAATCCTGAGACCAGCAGATGGCGTGATGATTACATCAGTGGACTCCCACGTAGGAGCGTGATTCCATTCCCAACCCGCAGGCTTCAAACTCACGCCTGGCTCGCGTATTTGCCCAAGATTCCGAGAGGAGATTGGAGAAGAAGGGATTGCGCTGTGGCCATCCTCCCAGAGGGGTGATTTCTCGCTTTCTGTCTCTCTCTGTCTCTTCAGTGAGCTCACGCTCCCTATAGCAAAAGTCTCTCTAAAAAAAATTTTAAAAAATAAAGTTGAATTGCCATGTGATTATGGCCATAATTATGTGGCCATAATTTGGTTTAGCAACCTGGAAAAGGAGTAGGAAATCCATCATTTCTCAGGAGTCATGAACAATACGGGGTATTGCCTTCAGTACCCTCTATAAATTGGGAGGGAGAGTCAGTACACAGTAAGAAAAATTATTTGTTGAACTTTAATGCTTGGTTTTAAGAAAACTGACCTACATATTTCAGGTCCAAAAGCAAAATACGGATTATGTAGACAAAGGATTTGGGCACTCCTTCCCCTTTGAAGTGCTCTTTTCCTCTTTCTAAAGTTACTCTCCTATTCTGGGCTTATTCCCATTTTGACTTCTTCTTTACTTACTTTTTTCTTTCCTGTCTTTCTTTTTCATGATAGAGCAGGAGAGAGAGAGAAATGCACTCTCCGTGCATCTGATCACTGCAGTCCCCTTCCTCCAGTCCTCCAGCTGGGCGGATCTTGGGCAGTCGAGTGTGTACATGCATGTTTCAGGCAAACCAGGCCAGGGATCCCAACCACTGTTACCATGTAGGATCCAGTTTCCCTTCACACTATCATTGTGTAGCTGAGCCATCCTTTTTTTTTTTTTTTAAGTTTATTGATTTATTTCTTCCATGAGAGAGGCAGGCACCCCTAAAAGAGTCTTCACACTATGATTCACCCTTACCTCAGGTAGCCTAGATCATGGGCATGCACACGCTAGGTGTATATACAGAGAAACCTCAGAACTCAGTCCCAAGGCATTCACATGTGGGTCGTTTGACATCACAGAGCCTTGCATTATGGTTGTACCACTCGGGCCCCTCCTCTCTCTGTTTTATTAACTATGCCCCACTGAGGTATTTTAAATCAATCACTAACTGGGACCAGCGGTTAACGTAATGGCTATGTCGCTGGACTCCCATGTAGTGGACTGCGGTTCAAGTCCTGGAACCGGTGGCTTAAACTCACACCAGGCACGTGTACATGTGTGCTCATGATCCCAAAAGGAGAATGGAGGAGAAGGGATTGCGATGTGGCCATCCCCCCGGGGGGTGGTGGTGGTGATTTCTCGTTTTCTGTCTCTCTGTCTCTCTGGCAAGCACACGCGTCCTATAGCAAAAACCTCTCCAAAAATAAAGAAGAATCAGTCATTAGCTAATAAGCTTTAAAGCCTCATGCATATTTGCATTTTATAGATACCTTTGAAAGTTAAAAGGCATTTGCAGTCAGATAAATAAAATCAAGTTCCTAATTTTGGGGAGAGATGCCTTCTCAGTACTCTCTCAAGTCACCACTGGTTTGCTGCTGCTGGTTTTACCTCTTTCTTTTTTATTTTTTTTTCTGAAACATTTTTTAATTAATTTACATTCATTCCCTAAGCATCGTCACAGCATACAAAATGTGATTTCCCATCCAGAATATACTATATAGTGGCTTAATCATGCATGTTATCAATAATTTCCATTTCTAGTTTCATATGTGTGTGTGTGTGTGTGTGTGTTTTAATCTCTATTTCTAACTCTCTGCCCTTTCACACCCTCCTCCCACACTGTCTCTGGTGTCTACAGTTGTTTTCCACTCCTTTTCATCCTTATTTTATTGATCACACAATTTCTTACATAATTTAACTACTTTGAATAGCAAGTTCAGCTGGTAATTTCAGGAAAAGCAGTTTTAACTTTAATAAATCAAAGACTCTTTCTGAGTGCTTAGCCCTGCTTATAAACAGTAACTAAACTAACAAAGTTGAATAGCAGGAAATACCAGGCCATGTGAGCTTATCGAAAAGTGGCAGGGGACTGTCTATGTAGGTAAATACAACTTAACAAATCTAGAGGGAAATAATTAAGATAGTGCAATTATGTACTCTTCCAAGAAGACACTGAAGCAGTAAAGTCTTCTGACCAAAGAATGTAAAAATACTGGCATGACACCAGTACTGAATAAACCAAAAAATGTTATCCTTGCTATACGTAAAACTGACACCTTTGCTAATTAGAATACTGTATATGGTTCTGACTTCTACTTTAATAAAACAATGCCATAAACTATAATTTCCTCCCAAAATGTAGCTAAATTGATGTAGGAAGTAGGATGAATAGGGGAACATGAAACTTGCCTAGACATGTGTTAGACATTTTCCTTATTTGATGCTCATAAAACCATGAAGTAGGGGCCAGCAGATGGTGTAATGGTTATGTCACTGGACCCCCACGTAGTCAACCACGGTTCGAGTCCTAGACCTGGCAGCTTAAAACTCACACCAAGCACGTATGTGTGCGTGCCCAAGATCCTGAGAGAAGAATGGAAGGAGAAGGGATTGTGATGTGGACATCCCCCCTGGAGGGTGATTTCTCGGTGTCTCTCTACAGTGTGTGCATGTGCCCCATGGCAAAAAAATCTCTCTCTAAAATTAAATAAATAAATAAATAAATAAATAAAACTATGAAATAGAGATTACCAGAATTTTGTAGTGATGTGTAAGTTAGGAATGCTTTCCTCTGCAAATAATGAAGTCCAACTAAAAGTGACTTAATTAAACTTAAAGTTTTTTTTTATTATTATTAAGAAAGGACAAAGGGGGCCAGCAAGTGATGTGGAGTTAAGGTGGCTGGATCCCAAATAGGCAGTTCGAGTCTGGGGCCTAGCAGCTTGAAAAACATGCTAAGTACAAGTGTGTGCTTTCCCAAAATCCTGAGAGGAGAATCAAAGAGAAGGGACTGTAGCGTAGTTATGCCCCCCAGAGTGGAGTTATTTCTCACTTTTGCCCTCTTTCTTTATCCATTGAGTACACACTCTATAGCAAAAGAAGGAAAGAAAGTAAGAAACAAACAGGGGTGGGCAATTGCTGACATTGATTCAAAGCATTTTCCCCATGATTACGAAACCTGTCACAGTCCAGAATTTACATCCAAATTCTAGGAAGGGAAAAGGAGAGCCACTAACATCAGCTATTCATTTTATCAAATAAGGAACAGTTTTTCTAGAAACTCCCTTGCAAAAGATTTTTATTTATGAGCTATTCACCTGGACACCTTGAGGTATAAAGAAGGTTTGAAAAGCAGATACGTACTTAAGTTTTCAGGCTCTATGATGGAGGTCAAGGGAAGGGTTAGAAATGTGTGCTGGGGAGCCAGCTCTCTGGCCTGATTGTTAAGGCAGCTGGTTCCCTTACAGCCAACCACACAATTCAAGTCCCAAACATGATGGCTTGAAAAACACACTGCCAGGACCAGCAGTTAGCGTAATGGCTATGTCGCTGGACTCCCATGTACTCAACCCCGGTTCGAGTCCCAGACCCGGTGGCTTAAACTCACGCCAGGCGCGTGTGTGTGCGTGCCTAAGATCCCGAGAGGAGAACGGAGGAGAAGGGATTGCAGTGTGGCCATCCCCCCTGGGGGGGTGATTTCTCGCTTTCTGTCTCTCTGCCTCTGTCTGTCTGGCGAGCACACATACCCTATAGCAAAAACCTCTCCAAAAAAAAAAAGAAAAACACGCTGCGTTCACGTGTGTGTGTGTGTCCATGCCCCAAATCCTGACAGTATGTTAAGAAATGGAGGGTAAGGGCTCCTCTCCCTCTCTCTCTCTGGTAAGCCTACGTGCTAACAATCCATTAACTAGGTTTTTTTTAATAATAAATGTGTATTGGGTTAAAAATGTACTCGGTTAGCCAGTTCACAGAGTCTGCAATGGCTTACCCTTAATCTGCTTAAATCCACACACACCCTTCTTTCCATACTGACATTTTACATTGAATGCATTCATCAGACCCCCTAAGGAAGGCATCCCCAGAAGTTCAGCCAGCTACTACATCCAACTTGAAGTTTAGAGTCTTTGCAGTCTTCTCTATCAGTTATTATTAATGATTTAGCAGTTGATAGCTATGGGAAAGGAAAAGTGTTTACCACTCCTCATCATCAAACTCAGTATTACTGTGAAAGGAATAGAATAGGATAAATGTAATAAAACCTCTCATTTCTAAAAGGTGACAAAGGGAAATATACAGACCACACCAAATGGCCCATGACACATACTAAATCCTACTGGGCAGAAATAGTAATGACTCCAACTTCCAACAGTGGAGAACATTTCTTGCACAGTCAATCAGATGAGGCAGTTTCTGATAGAAATCCTTGGTAGAATCCACCTTAGCCATCATCTCCGAGCTTCTAGTGTACCTCTTTGGAAGATGTTCTTATCCTGAAACCACCACTGGCCTCGTTTTAATGGCACTAGGGAAAATGACATTTCTGGGGAGAAATGCACAACTTTCACACCCC